CGTGTCTGAGGTGCTTCCGAGAGGAGAGGTTCAGAGTAACCCAAAGGCACCCGCCTCACGGTGGCTACAGAACTCTGGGCCATGACAAGACGAGTGGCTCCCGCCCCAGGCACACTGTGGATGGCCACTGTCATCACGCGGCACCCAGCCAGAGAGATCCAGGTAACCCAATTTCCCCTGCTGGCGGTCCTACGTCATGTTTGCCCTAGAAGGATGTGTATGCGAGGCCCAGGTGGCAGAGATGACACACCTGGCAAGTTCGGACCTGCTTCCCCAGCATAGGGAGGCTTAGTTAGAGATATCTCATTGGACTCACTGTGTGCCTGCTCCCCTGCCCACCACGCTTCCCCTGAACTGCCCCATCACAAGCCCCAAGTGCACTGCAGGGGGCTGGCCTGGGCATTTGGGCCTCCTGGGATTTGTGACACGTGGGACTGGCAGCACAAGGTCAGATTTTAAGGTCTGTGTGGAAAGGAGAAGCCGCAGGGTCACAGGGGGCGTGGGCAGCTCTGGGGGGGTGGGGCAGGCCAGAAGGAAGGGAAGCAGAGACAGAGGCAGAGGTACCTGCAGAATGCCTAGACCCGAAAGTGGGGAGACACACACCTGGCCATTCCAGCAGGTGTCCAGTGGGTGAGAGGCAAGTTCCCAGAGCCCAAGGTTGAAGGAGGGAGGCTGAGTGGGCCCCCCAAGGGTGGGTGGGCCTTTTAGGAAAGGCCCCCTGGCATCACTTTGGTCCCAGGAAACGCCTCTGGCTGATGAGCCTGGCTATGTCAAGCTCATGGATATAGACCAGGAAGTCCCACCTCCCAGGGCTGCCATGTGTTCAAGGGCATGGCCTTCTGAGTGCAGCAGGCTAATCTGGCCACCCCCCCAACACACACCCCACCCTCACCCTCATCAGACAAATCTGACTGGACTGTATGCGAAGAGCAAGCATCAAACTCAGGGGAACCAGCCGTCCTCCTGTGGCCACAGTTTTCAGACTACGTTGAGGGGGAGCGGGCAGAGGTGAGGCAGTTCCTCCTCCCCAGAGGTGACACCCAGAAGGGGGCTAACCAAAGGCCACAGCCTACTGCATGTCCCTGGGCCCCAGGGCTGTGTAACCCTGAGGATGTCATCACTCCTCAGCTGGGACATCTCATGACACACAGAGTCCCACCTTCAGCCTCCAAGGAAAAGCCCCCAAAGACTGTCCAAGTTGATCTATCCCACTCTCCTGTCATCTGGTCATCAAAGAAGACCATAGGAGGAGGTGACCCGACCCAGAACTCTGAACACACAAACCCACTCAGCAGACGATCACACAATCACTCGTATCCATGCATAATCACATGGTGCCTAGTGTACCCCTACCTTGCCCATGGGACTGGTCTCCTGTTACAGGATCCCTCTTCTGGCCACCCCGCCATCCTGCCTCAGTCCCTCTCCCTTGTATAGTTAAGAGGCCACTTCTCCTGGGGCCCTCCCCCACTGTCACCGCAGATGCCACCAGCAGATGCCACCCAGAAAGGCTGCAAGAAAAGGTCAGGTGCAAAGGTCAGCTCCAACAGGAAATGTGCTGTGAAAGTAAGAAGTGCGAATCTGCAAGGACCCATGAGGCGCTGAGAGGACTTTGCACGAAGAGAAGGGAACCAGCAGACGGTGACACGTACAGGAAGGGCGCTCTGCCTGGCAGCCCCCGCCCACGGGCAGGCCTTGGCACCCCCAGCTCCCGCAGGCTGCGAGGCTCTTCCATCCCCGCCAGGGAGAAGCAGGAGCAAGGCCTGGGGTGCTGCAGAGCCTGGCCCCTGAGCCTGGCTCACAAGCCCGGGGTGGGGGACGCAGGGCCGCACACAGTGGGTGCTCTGTGAACGCTGGCTGAAAGGCAATTAATGGCACCTGGAGACAGAACACAGAAAACGCACTGGCGTCACACTAAGGACGGCCCACCTCACTCTAACAGGGGCCGCTAGGTTCCGCGCTGAGAGGGTCAGATCAGGCTGGCTTTGTGAGGACGCGCCCCGCACCCAGCCCCGTCTGCAGGGGAGCGCCCAGGGGGCTCTTGAGTTCTCCTGGGCTGAGGGTCAAGACGCTGGTGCGGCCCGGATCTCCTGCTGGGCGGCACTGTGGCCCGCAATCACTGCCCCGGAAGCCCCCTCCTCCACCCTCTCACCCTCGTCCTGTCACCTGGCTCGGGCGTGGCGTGCTGAAGGCCTCTTCGCAGACACCATCCCACTCTGCAGAAGGGGTTCCGAGTACTGCCCCCTCGGCCTCCTCGGACGCATCCCCTCCCCCGAGCTCCACCTCAAATGTGTCCGGCCACCTGGGGGCCTCCCCCACCCCTGCCCAGCCTGGCCGGGCTGTCGCGATACGTCCCCGCCCAAGCGGACCAGACGGACCGGCTGCGACGGGCCCCGCGCAGGGGTGAGGGGCTGGTGGGCGGGGCCTGGGCGCCAAGTCCCGCCTCCCGCACGCCCAATGCGCTCGCGCGCTGCCTGGCAGCCCGGGAGAGCGGACTGCCACGGGCTCGGGCTCGGGGGAAGGCTTGACTTCGCGGCCGGGCCGGGGACCTGCGTCCGCCGGCGGTGAGTCAGGGCCCGGGCCGGGCGGGCGGGGGCGCGGGGACGGGGCCCTGCCCAGCGAGGAGGCGGAGCGGGCGAGTGGGGCGCCAGGGAGGCGGGAGAGGCCTGCGGGAGGCTGGGGGTCGGGGTTGCGAGCGGCCCCGGCCCCTGCGCGCCTCGCCTCCACTTCCAGCCCCCCAGCCTCCCGGCCCTCCCCAGTATTTCCAAAGGACGAGGGCGGGAGCGGGCGGAGACTGCAGCCGGGCGGCCTCCCGGGCTGGGTAGCCAAGGGCTGCGCAGGCGCGCGGGCCCCATCGCCCAACTCTAGGGCCCATCCCCTGACCCCTCACCTGGGGACTGGTGAGGGGTCAGCCTTCCTGACTTGAAGGGGCTGGGATCTTGGAGCGCTGGCAGGAAGGAGAGAGTTAAATGCCCTGGTGGGTCACCATGGGGACGGGAGCCTGCCTTGGGAAGAGGTGAAAGCACCTTGTTTGTTTGGCATAGATTACGCAAGTATATGAGGTGCCTAGGAGCCCAGCCCCCTGCGCTGGGCCACCAGGCCCCTTCCATCCCTGGGGTCCAGGACGTGCTCCTACCTCTCTTGCTGGCCCATCGTCACTGAATGCCAGGCTCTCCCGGAGATCAGCCCTGTGAGCCTGGGGGAAGAGTGCACAGTCTGGGTCCCGAATGGCCCTGCCCGCAAACCCACGGCCTCCCTTCCGCCTGGCCCTGCTAATGTGGACACATTAGTATCCAGTGCCTGGACTCAGCCCAGCAGGGCGCACTTGTTGGGGTGCCTGGCAGCAGGGTGGGGATGCTGGCTGTGACCGCGGAGGTGAGCCCCAGAGCTTCCTTCAGGACAGCTCACGGCTCCTCCCGCCGGAACGTCACTTTGTGGAGGAGGAAACCGAGGCTCCTTCCTCCCTAACTGCCGGGATCCCGGAAGAGGCCCCAGCTGGGTTCGGCGCTGTTCTTGGACCTCTGCAGCTCCTGCTGCCAACCCCAAGACATCAGCCCCTGCCCAGACCTGAAGCCCATTCTCAGGGTCTCTGCCAGCCCCTCTCAAAATCTGTTCTCTCCCTGGCATTCTCCTTCCTCCCGGTGCCTGGGGACTAGCCCTTCCCCCGCCCGCCCACGGCTGTCCCCAGTAGAAGGTACCAGACTGCTCCTCCCACACTGCGCCTCCTGCAAAACAGAGAACCAGGACCCCAGCTGGTCGCATTCAAAGTGCTTTTCTCCATCCACTGCCAAGGACCTCTGCCCAAGGGAGGGTCCCGGTGCAGGACAGCCCCCAGGGACTCACAGCCACCTGCCAGAGCCTGTGCCTGTTCCCGCTGGGGTGACTGGTGGCACACTGCTGGGTCTCCCTGAGCCTCCCCCAGCCATGAAGGGGGGGGGGCGGAGTAGCAGATACGTATGGGGGTCATCGTGTTCAGCGTTAAATAACACAGAATGGGAGAGCCCCTCGCCCCTCCCCCAGGACAGAAGCTGCCCAGGTGGATACTCAGCTAGATATGCCTTATGCCCCCATCCCAGCTCTAGGTCCCCGTGTGAGGCACAGAGCTGGCCCCTGGAAAGTTCTGGACGCAGGTCATATAATATTACTGGTCGCCATCCCTGCCCAGGGCCTTTGGACTCGAGAAATTGCTAAGAGGCCGGACGAGAATTCCAGGCAAGGCTTTACTGGGGCTCGAGCTGCAGCACAAGGAAGCAAAAACAACAGCTCCCGAGAGGAGCTACTTGAGTCCTTAAAGGGGGTGACAACGGGGGCGGATCTGTGGGTCACGCAGGAGGCACAGCTTATAGCTTAGGTGGCCTGTCCCCTCCTTGGGGGTACCGGGCAGGAATGATGTGCAGTACCATGCTTTTGCTCCCAGCACCTCAAAAACGTAGTTTGTGGCTTCTTGTACCCTGTTGCCCCACGGTGCATGGGCGCAGTTATTTTTAGTCACTTACAGTTTCTTTGTATCTTGTTGCTCTAGGGGACGTTTGTCCAGGTGCAAGCACTCTGATAGAGGATCCCAGGTCCCAGGCTATCTCATCCACACCCCCCGGGACCATGGGCAGGGGCCACTCCCTTGACCTCCCTTTCTGGGAGATTCTGAGAACCTTAATGAGCTCCCTCCCCCCAAGCAGCAAGTGCCACAGACTTGGGGAAGGGTCTCAGCTAGGAGTCTGCACTGAGTGAGGGGCAGGTTGGGAGTGGAGCAGAAAGACCCTCTGTGCTCTGGCCTTGCTGCTGGCAGCTGGCAGCTCCCCCCATCTACGAAGTGGGGACACCAGGCTGCCCCCAGGGCCAGTGTCCCTGACCCCATTGGGAAGAGCAAGCCACTGCCCCTGCCCCAGGGCCCTGCGCAAGGGGGGGGGGTGAGCCCCGCCCTCCAGCGAGCTGTCTCTTTAGCGCAGGGCTGACTTCTTTGGCTTCGTGAGACCCCAGCCGGGACGCCAGTCCCCTCCAGAATGAAGGTCTTCCTGCCGGTGCTGCTGGCTGCCCTCCTGGGTGTGGAGCGAGGTGAGGTGCCCCGGGGCCCCAGGCCTCTGAGCGGACTGTGTCCTCCTCCTGGACTCCCTCTCCCCTTTCTCTCCCAAGCGGTGCCCATGTCACCTACTCTGTGCCATCTAATAGGCTCCTCTCCCACGGTGAAGCGGTCCCTCCTACCCCCGCCCCCACTGGCGGCCTCAGCCCTGCCTGGACATTTGGGGCATCACTGGAGCTCCTCCAGAGCCAGGGTCTGGTGTCATTGTCTCCTGGGTCTCCAGCCCGGGCCCAGGCTACCATAGTTGCTCACTCAGTGCCTGCACAAGATGGGGTGTCCTCATGCCTCTGGGTCCGGGCTGGGAGGGGACACAGGAAGACTCCTGGGCATGAGACAGGCATCCCTCCTTCTGCAGCCCACTCCCTGGTGTGCTTCTCCTGCGAGAATCAGAACAGCAACTGGTACTGCCTGAAGCCCACCGTCTGCTCCGATACAGACAACTACTGTGTGACCATCTCTGCATCCGCTGGCATCGGTGAGTGCAGACGCAGCGCAGCTAGGCTTCCCCCACCCCAGCCCTGGCTTCTCTGCCCCTCCACTCACAACCTCGTTTTCCTGTGCAGGGAACGTGGTGGACTTTGGCTACACCCTGAACAAGGGCTGCTCCCCGATCTGCCCCATCCGGAGCGTCAATCTCGGTGTGGCGTCCGTGGGCACCCACTGCTGCCAGAGCTTCCTGTGCAACTTGAGTGCGGCCGACGGCGGGCTGCGGGCCAGCGCCGCTGTGCTGGGCCTCGGGCTCCTGCTCAGCCTGCTGTCGGCTCTGCTGCGATTTGGCCCCTGAGCCCTGGGACCCTGTGCCCGGCCCAGACTCCCAAAGCTCAGGAAGGAAGGAAAGCCCAGCTCCTCCCAGACCCAAGAGGATCTCGAAGCCTCCTCCCCTAGACTCCTCACCCTGCAGAGCCCACCCTCTAGGCCCTGGGTCCCCACAGGCAGGCCACCCCTCTGCACCCACACACCTGCCGGCTACCCTTACTTCCCGGTCAGCCTTCTAGGGGGAACCTGGGAACGGAGCCTGAGGGCCCCAGAGTCAGAACCACGTCCCAGGGACATGCTGGGAGGGGCACCTGATCCCAGGCCTGCCCCTGTCGGCTCGCAGGTGCGGAAGATGTGCTGTGTGGACAGGCGCTGGTCCGTGTGCCCTGCCGGGCACGGGTGAGCGTGTGGCCAGGTCTCGGGGGAAGGATGGGAGTAAAGCCTCAGGAGCCCAGCCCTGAGCGCCAGCACAGAACCCCTTTCCCCTGCATCTCTGCACACCTCATTTCACTCACTTCAAGGGCAGCCTTTAGGAAGACAGGCCTTCCGCTTTCCCCAGGTCTAGGCTGCTGACCCAGGAATCTGCTCCCAGCCCGAAATCCAGCTGCTTTTCGGGCCCCCTCCCTCCACCGCCACACTGGAGCCCTCCTGCTGCTTTGGTGCCTCAAATAAACACAGATGTTCCCACCCTTTCCTGCTCTAGGTGTGGCCCACAGCCTGACTGTCCTTTCCATCAGGGTCCTACTGAGAGGGAGGGGGCAGCAGAGATGCAGAGCCGCAGGTGTAGAGGGTCTGAGGGTCCCCTGCGATCGGGCCCCACCCTGAGGCCCACTGGGAGGCAGTGAGGAAGGGGGTCTCCGGAGACCACAGCTAGCTACCCTCAGCCGGGCAGGGTTGGGAAGTTTATCCTCCGGACAGGACTGGACTGGACAGAGAAACTAGCAGAGGTCAGCCTGCTTCTGGGTGGAAGGCAGGACGCTACAGAGGGAGGGACGGGGTTGGGCGGGAGGGGAGGGGACCCCCCAGCCGGGGTTCCGGGACTTGGGTACGGGGTGCCTGGGCCAGTCAGGTTGAGGAGGACACAAAACATGGTGGGGAAGGGGGCAGGAGCTCGGTAAGTGGGTGAGTGAGATGTCCATCCCAAGGGCCTACGGGAGGAGTTGGGGGGTGACTCCCCTGGAGAAGGCCTGGACCCTGGCTGGAGGGCAGGGGTGCTGCTACCCGAGCCGGCAGCCCTCGCTGCTACATGCCTACTCCCTCAGCAAGCCCAACTGTGGTCTGTGGCTAACCCAGGGGTTCCCAGCGTCTGCACTGGGGGAGTGTCTGAGTTCTAAGCCAAGGGGATTCTTTGACTGGGCTGGTGGCCGAGGAGCAATGAACCAAGGGCTGCAGCTGGGCGCCTTGCAGAGAGTGATACGTTTATCCTTCAGGACGCTGTCGTGTCTCCTGGGTGGTGGGAGGGAACACAGCAGGGCTGGGTGGGTCCAGGCTGGCCAGAATCTCTGACGTGCCTGGGTCCAGGGTCCAAGCATCGCTGTGCAGCAGGGCGGGGCAGTGGTCCCTGCGAGGGCTTGGGTTGTGGCCCATATCCCGGGCCCGGGTCACAGGAGCAGATGAGCAGCTCTGCACAGAATGGGCCCTGTGACACATGAATGCAGCATCCTCGGCGTCATTGCCACCAAGGGGGATGCCAGCCAGCACTAGGGGTTGAGCGCCAATGCGGTGATAAGAGCTCAAGGGAGGGACGGGAGGAGCGGTCTGCCCCAGGAAATCAGGACAACAAGGGGAAGGAGACTCAGGCCCAGCCAACATCTCGTGGAAGGGTCCAGAAGCACATCACAGCAGTCTGGTTGAGACTCACGGGGTGGTAGAAATGTTGAGATTCACTTGAGTGGATCAGACCAGCATTAAAAACCAAAGCAAGAAAAAGAATTCAAGGGGATGAAATCAGAATGTCCCCCAGGAATGCTGGTTACCTCTGAAGTTCAGAGTCCTCTAAACAGAATGTTGCAGGGACTTCCCTGGCGGTCCAGTGGTTAAGAATCTGCGCTTCCACTGCATGGGGCATGGGTTCAATCCCCAGTCTGCTGTGCGGTGAAGCCAAAATAAACCAAAAAACAAAAATGCTGCCCACCGTTTCAGTTCCACGAGGATTAAATTGCAGCCCACTGCAGTCGCCCACCAGCAGTGTGCCCTGAGGCGAATTCATGATAGGGAAAAACAGGAGGAAGCATGCTGTGTTTCGGATGTGGGCCCCTAGTTAAGATGTGGATCTAAGGGAGAATTTCAATGACCCCCGATTCTTGCATCTTCCCATACATAGAAAGCACTAAAATCATTAACTTGAGATGTCTGTCTTTTGTGATATGTAGTAATCTTTTACCAAGATGTATGCTTGACCACCTGTATTTCCCGATCAAAAAATTCATATATATACTGGCTCCCCTACCTCTCCGGAGCTACTGAGACGCTGTCTTCCAGGCTACAGTCCTCAGTAAAGTCCCCGCAAAAAACTGAAACTGTGTAAGCAGATAGGGGGTCCGCAGAGAAAGAACCAGGAGTGGCTTTCTTGACATAAGAGAAGCCATTTTGGCCTAAGCCATTTTGTGATCTAAGCCTGGCCGCAATGCTTGCCCTTGAACAGGACTCTGTGATCAGTGATCTTAAGGGAACAAAAGAATACAGGACAGAGTGAAGTAAGTCAGAAAGAGAAGGACAAATACCGTATGCTAACACATATATATGGAATTTAAGAAAAAAAAAATGTTATGAAGAACCTAGGGGTCAAACAGGAATAAAGACAGAGACCTACTGGAGAACAGACTTGAGGATATGGGGAGGGGGAAGGGTGAGGTGTGTTAGGGCGAGAGAGAGACATGGACATATATATACTAACAAACGTAAGGTAGATAGCCAGTGGGAAGCAGCCGCATGGCACAGGGAAACCGGCTCGGTTCTTTGTGGCTGTCTGGAGGGGTGGGATAGGGAGGGTGGGAGGGAGGGAGACAAAGAGGGAAGAGATATGGGAACATATGTATATGTATAACTGACTCTGTTATAAAGCAGAAACTAACACACCATTGTAAAGCAATTATACCCCAATAAAGATGTTAAAAAAAAAAAAAAAAGAATACAGGAACAGAGGAAAAGCAGTCAAACAATAGTGCAGTGATGAAGCAGAATGTAGTTTCTCCTCAAGGGACATACATAATACATCTTTGAGTTCTGTAAGGAACTAAGGCCCCCACCCAGGTGGTGGGTGATGTCCCTTCTGACTTCAGTCAACCCAGGCCTGGACTCTGTCAGCCTTTGCCCCAATTCTATACAGATTAATCCTCTGCTCAAACCCCTTCATGAATATGCACGTACTCTTCGCTTAAAACTTCCCCACTGTCGCTGTTGGGGAGACTCTGCTTTGGGTAAGATCCCTGGTGTTCTCCTTACTTGCTGCCCGTAATACATCCTTCCTTCTGCTCTCTGGCAAATGGTTGTGGCTTCTGGCTCCACACCTACCAAGAGGTGAGCCCAGTTTTCAGGTAACAACTGCTTTCACATTGTACATTTTGTTTGCTTTGTTTATTGTTGACAGTCCCCACATAGAATGCATCCACTGTGTTGTTCACTCAAAACAAATCACAAGCAACTTTGCTAAAAGGACTGAGACCAGCAGGGTGGGGCAGTGGTGGTGATAGGGAGAGAGTGAAGGAAGGGACAAAGTAGGCGATTAAATAGTTACTCCCACTAAGGGATCATAAGTAAAGAAAAAAGTATGGGAGACCCCTGTAAGTTAATGATCACGCAAGAAAGCAGGCTTGCTTAGCATCGAAATTAAGCAGGCTTTTGCCTAGCAACAAAACCATGCAACAGAAGCACAAGACATGCCCCAAAACAATGGTGGAGCGAGACCCACATCCTGCCCAGTGAGGTCAGTAAGGTAATGATTCCTAGAACATGCTCCTCTGCGCACACTAAAGACAAAAATAGAAGGAAAGGTGACGTTCTACTGAAACCTGAGATGATTTACCGCGGTTTAGTGTATGCTACCACCTTTTTGCCCATTTCCGTAGCACCATGACAGCCCTGGCTTGACCATGTAGGGACAAGAAAACTTCCCTGCCTGACGTGGAGGAGGAGCTGATGACGGAAGTTTGGCGTCTACTCAAGAATGAGGAAGAAGTGGTCTTTCCCCCACTTTCTCTACCTTATAAAAATGTAGCCCCCCAGCCTTCATCACGGCGCTCCCTTGCCTGCCCGCTCGCATCTCTCACAAGCGCCCTATACTGATGAACCTTTTCCTTACCTGTCACTGCCTCTCACTGAATTCTTTCTGCACTGAAGAACCTATGCTCTACTGAGTCCCAAAACGCGTTCTGTCGTTTCATCGGGGCCAGGCCACAGGAAGATGCACAGGTGGACTTGACCATCACAGTCAGGGAGTTCGGATTTGACTCTGGGGACACTGGGGGCGGGGGGCAGTGGCAGGACAGGTATGTAACAAATGCTCTGTTCCCGCTAATGCTAACCTCAGCTTCCATCTCTGTGTACTGACTATTTTGCAGGTGATATTGATCTGTTATACTCTTCGCACAACTACAATGAGCGATGGATGTGGTTACCTCCAGTTTTCAGAAGTGAAAACCAGGGCTCAGAGGGTTGAAGCCACTTGTCCTCCTGGGTCTATGACCCTGGGCGTGCCCAGCATTTCCTCTGCAGGGCAAAGTCCCTTGAGGGCTGGGTTCAGAGGCAGCTGGGCCTCCTGGGGGCAGCTGGTAGTCCTTCTGGTTCCGGCGGCGCTTCCCTCCCTGGGCTGGGGGGAGGCTGGAAGGCACAGGCTGTGCCAGAGCAGAGGGAGGCTGGGTGGGGCTGAGCGGGGGAGGAGCCCAGGGCTCTGAGTTTCCATTTCCTACAGCCTGAGGGA